TAAGGGTACCGACCGAATTGCGTCGGTACTACCGAGTACCGATTTACGCTAAATCAATCGGTGCAAAATCTGAGAACGCATCTGAGCGCATACGCTACAGAGAGAGAAAGAGAGACTCTGTGACGTGATCTCACCCCTGCAACTCGTTCAAACAACACACAGGGCAAGCCGAAATGTTCTGAAGTGTGGTTACATTTCTAGGGTCATATGGTTTCTGCGAAAACGCGGACGGGATCGTGGAGTCCATTCATAAAAACGCGCAGAATGCCACGAAATTTTCAATTTTGGAGGAATAAATCAAAAGTAGCCACTACCACTTAATTCGAATCGCGATATGAACTAGTGTCTGTGAATATTAAAATGCAAAAAGACGGTTTAAATATGAATCCTGCATGTTCCGCTTGCCTCTGTATGTATGAATGGCGGAAACGCGGTTTTGTTTACCACACGAATACTGAAGCACGCGTGACGCTCGCGGTGATTTTCTGCCTCTGCGTCTCACTATATGACAGCATGAACACAAGAACTTAATCTCCAGAGCTCCAGAGGGAGAAGAAAGAAAGAAAAAGTTTGTAGGGCCCTATTGTTCAAAATGTTGAAATTGAGACTTTTGGACTTATTTTTTCACTGAAATAAATGTTTTTGTAATTACACAGAGAGTAAAGTACCGAAAAAAGGTACCGTTGGGTACCGGCACCAAAATTCAGGTACCGATTCCGGTACCGTACCGGTTCAAATGTGAACGGTACCCAACCCTACACAGAACACAAGAAATTGTTGAATAATGTCATTATTTTTGTTTTCTTTGTGCACAAAAAGTATTCTCATAGCTTCATCAAATTACTTCCTTACTACCTTTCTGCCTTAAACGTGGTTGTTTCGTTGCTGTCTATGCAGGGTCAGAAAGCTCTCGGATTTCATCAAAAATATCTTCATTTGTGTTCCGAAGATGGTCTTACGGGTTTAAAACGACATGAGATAAACAGCTAGAGTACTTCCAAATGTTTGTGTGTGAGCAAAACATACTGTATCAGGACCGACATCCAAATTCCCTCCTGTTTTGTAGTCAATATGAGACCCCAGCAAATGTGACAAAAAAAGTCCCTTTTTTCTCCACCTGATCAATCTCTTAGCGTTTGATCTGCGAGCACAGCCAGAGGCCGAGCTGAGAAAAATAAGCCCATATCCCTTCAGCAGCAGTCCAGGCTGCATTAGTTTCTCTGTGTAGAACGGCAGCTCAAAAGACAAAGGCTGGAAGCAAAGACGCGTGCTGGGTCATCTGCTACTCTCATTCTTAACTTCTGATTTATGGGCTTATCATTTTTTTCCTTGCTTTAAATGGTTAAAGGTGCAACGTAAATAAAGTCTGCTGAAGACTACTGTCCTGCATCCTTGCTAGTAATTAAGGTCACTCATTAGTACCTAATAATTAACAAGCTGGGTCGAATTCCCCCCACCCACACTGTAATTAAAAGTCTCTATTACACTTCAGAGCCCACAGGGGCAGAGTCTTCTTTCTCTGCTGTCTCTTGTCTTGACCTCAGCTGACTCTGGGGACAAGGAAACCATATAATCCTTTGGAAAAAAAGAAAAGCTGTACAGTACGTCTGAATAATATAAAGGACCTGACTGACTTGATGTCAAATTACTCCAGGTGGGCAGACAGCATGCTTTTGAGAGAAGCTCAAACTGCCATTCAACGGTTCTGTTCAAAAACATATTAAACTGCTTATGTACTGTAGGCAGCATTTTAAGGCATCATTGGCACAGTGCTCCAAAAGGTAGGCAGCATAATGATTCTGATGTCATATACTAAGGGAGAATAGCATGTAGCCTTCTCAAAGCAAGCTGGGATTTCTTATATTTAAATATATAAATTAAACATTTAAATTAAAATTTGTGTGCACCAAGGCTTTTTTTTTTTTTTTTTCTTATTAGAGTAGCTTGTCAGTAGCTTAGCAACAAGCTAACACCAAACTCTACTGGAATCAATTGTGAGTCATGTCTCCAGAGTGCCATTTGTGTGGCATGCTGAGTTGCTGCCTGCGCGGAGAGTTCCAAGTCAGTCACTTATGAGGATCCCTTATGGTTAGGATGCTGCCTTGGAAGGCAGCTGTTTATGTAGGCATTAGGCAGCGAGGCAGCTCGCTAGGTTTTGGAAGAGGGCCAATTTAATCCTTAAAAATCAGGAGAATAAACAAACCTGATGCATTACAGCATGTTAGTGTTTGTTTGCAGTCTCCAGATTACAAAATCAAATACTGAAAATAATCATAACCGACTTGACTGGAAAGCTAGAAAAAAAATATTATTTTTAAATTATTATAAATTAATGTTTTTTATATTATAAATTAATGTAGTTTAAGCTTTGAAATTATACCATACTGGCATGGAAATAAAGTTGTGAAATACCACATAGATCTGAAATATATTTTTCTTTCTACAATTTATATATACTGTTCAAATCTTTGGAGTCAGTAATATGTTGTTGTTGTTGTTTTTTAATTAAGTCTCTTATGCTCACCAAGGCTGCATTTATTTTATCAAAAATACAGTAAAATGGTAATATTGTGAAAAAATTTTACACTTTTTCTAATTACAAGTTTTCTATTTTAATATATTTTGTGATGGCAAATCCAAATGTTTGAGTCTTCAGTGTCACATGATCCTTCAGAAATTTGGTGCTCAAAGAAACATTTCTGATTATTACCACAGCTAAAAACGGTTGAGATGCTTAGTTTTTTTTTTTTCTCTCTCTCTCTCTTCTCAGGATTCTTTGGTGAATAGAAAGTTGTAACATTATACATGTCTTTGCAGTAATTTTTCATCCATTTAATGCATCCTTGCTTAATAAAGCTATAATTTCTTTCTTTAAAAAATATTTTAATGACTTTTGATCAAATGATTGATAGATTTTATACTTTCTTCATATACGTGTGTGTGCGTTTGTGTGTGTGTGTGTGTGTGTGTGTGTGTATATATATCACATGGGATATTTTTGATATTTTGATGAAGACATACATCCTCATATGAGCTTCATGAACCAATCATTAGCAAATCCTGCAATTAGCGAACCCTGCTTATCTCACACAGGCCTGTAATCACTTGAAGTAATTAAGATGGACAGGTCAGTAAGGAAATCAAGGAATCAAGCTGCCTTCTGTTATTGCTGCAGACAGGGAGTGTGCTCTGTCTAAATTTGTTAGATAAATATGACTGACTGAAGTGTTTTTGCATTTCAAGCGGCGGCACGGTAGAATGTTAAAATAATTGCCGTTTTAAAGCTTAGCCTGACTACACTGCAATTCAGCGAACATGCAGATAAAAGAATGTGAAGTGTATAATAGATAGTGTAATGACAGTTATCATCCGCCACAATGAGTCGCTTCAACTGAAAGAAGAGGCAAGAAACATTTCAAACGGGTACATTATTTGCATTTCAAGTACACACCCGTAATAACGAAAGAAAGAAAGAAATTTTGACATATTTGAAATAAAACACACATTCAATCGGCAGCTTTTAGTCAAAACCTCTCATCTTTTTTTAATAAAGCCAAACAGCTAGAATGACAGCAGAGCTCTGGCTCTGTGCATTCTGGGTACGGTTTGTGACCGCACGACACCAGGACCAAAACAAACATGTGAGGGAGAGCGTAAGAGCGTTACCTGCTGCAGGAGTGGCCATCAGAGGAGCTGCTCCTGGGGCTGGGCCAGTGGACAGGACAGGGGTGAGGAGACGCACATGGAGAACACACAGATAGCAGAGAATGAAAGGGCACAAAAACCAACGGGACAAAGAAATGGAAGGAAAATAAAGTAGATTAAATGAGTTGTGGAAGCAAGGGATATAAGTACAAAAAGGGGGGGAATCGAAAAAAGAAAAAGGAAAAGGAAACGGGAGAGGCCCCATACCTTGGCTCTTTAACGTCAGGTGCGCCAGACCTTGAAGGAAAAAACAGGAAAAAGGAAAAAAAGAAATAAGAGGGTCATAAAAAAGGCACGGGCGGAAACGAAAAGCATTGTCACAACGTTTGACTGCAGTTTGTGACAGACATCCTGAGGCAAACACGGATGCCAAATTTAAAGGAAACCAAAGGGGAGGGAAAAAAAGGAGGAAGGTAAAATAAACACACACTTCTTCAAGGGAGGGCAGTAAGAGGTGTTGAGGGGAAAAGAAAGAGAGGGAGGGAGGGAGGGAGGGAAGGGAAAGGGTGAGGAAAAAAGCATTTCAATTGGCACAAGTGCCAAAAAGGCACTTGCTCACAAAAAAAATGCTTTTTCTCCTAATGGAGCACATATTTAGTGTTTGGCAGATAGCATTCCTTAGATCACACGCTTCTATGCTATAGCAGTTACACCCATAAATATTGCATTCGAAAGCCACAGACTCATAAAATAGCAAAGAGAGATCAGAAAGAAGTGGGGAAATGTCTCATAAAAAGCAGCGGGGACCCAAGCGCACAGAGGCAACCCGTCCCAGACGGTCTATCGTCTTACTAACAGACAAAAGCCTGCGAGTTGATTTCGCCGCTGTAATAACGTATGCAGCTTGACAGCTCAATACCAATCAATTACACACACCGATGCGGGAGCCATTATCCGGCAGTTTGCGTTCTGTAATCACGATGCAGTGGTTGCTGTTTACTCCGACTAATGCGACCGAGAGTCGCAGAGAAATGCAGAAGACAATCAAGAGGAATTGCTATGCAAATCCAGATGAGAGCCAACCAAAATCGAGGGGTCAGGCCAGTGAGGAGATTCTGTTTTACATCAAATGGCGTAAACAAACTGGAAAGCAAAAGTACACAACTGAGATCACAAAAAAATAACGCATCAGCTGGGAGCTTCGTGAAAATCCACATTAACTCCATTTACGCCTTTACGCACTTTGTGAGGAATATGATTACCTTCAGGAACGCCGCATGTTAGCTGTGAACGCTCTCTGGTGAACTGAACCGCATTCAAGGCGATATTTAATTGAAAAGGGAGAATGTTTCCTTCAAATTCCAAATGCACCTCCAAGGAACCGGCAAAAACATGTCAAAAACAACCCTGGATTTAAAGAGACCGGGCCTGCTTGGAGCTCTCATCGCCTATGCGTTTAATTTCCGTGAAACAAAGGAATATTATGATTATAGAGAGCAGAGTTATAGCGCCATTGTTCTCTCTGATGTTCCTGTGTGATTCCTTGACAATTACCACGGTACCATCGCTTGCCCTGCTACTTCTAAGCTGCACTCTATTAGTGAGATAACGTGGCTGTAGAATAGATCATTGTAACTGGGAGTTACTAGTCATTGTGCAGCCAATTCCATAAAAAATATCACAAATGAAGGGAGCGAAACGATAAAAGACGGTTTGGTTTTTGAGAACAGAACAAGAGCTGCAACTCGTGAGGAATAGCAATATGCGAAATCACAAGGGATACGGTAAACAATGATACAGAGACAATATCTAAGGAAAGAACAATGGTGGTATCTGAACAATGTGCGAGACTTATGTAAGTGTTTTAGAACAAGTAACAGCCTTGGGATATTGTTTTTGCTCATTCAAATATTTGAAATGCATAATATAACAACTCAAAGTTGTATTTTATTATTATTTAAATATTCTCGTTGCTCATTTAAATATCCAAATATATAATATGACTATTCAAAGTTATTGCCAGAGCTGGGTAGAAACTGATTACATGTAATCTGGATTACGTAATCAGATTCCAAAAATTAAGTACTTGTAATTGGATCAAGTTACATGGTAAAATACTCGTAATCAGACAGCAGTTACTATTTTGATTACATACTATTCACACATAAATGATTCATAATTTATTGTTTCTCTCGAATTACTGTTTTTCATCTTTTAAAGGGGTCATATGACGTTGCTAAAAAAAAACATTATTTTGCGGAAATGTTACGCCCCTTACCATATTGTGCATCCAGTGGGGACATAATTACGGATTATAATGACTTATACTGTGTTTTTACGTGTTGCGTTGCATCGCGCTGTGTAAACATAAAACCATGTCTGCATTTGTGATCGGAGAAACAACAAACAACAAGCGCTACTCTACACTGCTCAAAACTCACGTTTGAATCATCAGTGGCAAATTCTTTAAATATGAAAACGTACTTACAGGCTGTGAGTCAGAACAGCCGGCATTGTAGGCTACTCTCCCAGGATCAGAAAACTGTCCTCCATAAAATGTGCTGCACACATCTGAATATTTGGGATTAACTGTTCTGGAACAGTGTTGTAAATACAACTTAACCACTGGTTTATATTTGTGTCCTCTTTTGGAAGGCCAAACAAAGTATTTTCGCTTTCGCAACGAAACACACAGCGTCTTCACAACATGGTGGCGACGGTGGCAGCAACAATAAAGTTACGCCTTCTTTCTTTGCATGAATATTTGGGCGGCGTTATGCAAATTTTCCCACATCGTGACGTAGACATGTGGGGGCATGTTAGAACGAGCCGTTTTAGG